GTTAAATCAATATCTTGTTTTTACTTTCATACATTACTTCGTAATCCATCTGTTCACAGAAAATGATGGTGGTTTTTCTTAAGTGGACATCAAATGTGCTTATTAATAAACACCCCATAAATTAAACATTAACGAAACAAATATCATCTTATTTTAAACAAATAATTCTCCTCCCATTATAAAACTGATTTCTTACAATTTTCAACCCTTTCATACATTGGATAACATTTTCTTAAGAAAAAAATATATCTTTGACTCAAACAATGCATTTGTGAGCGATACGAAGATTTACGTTTTGAATACAGTGATGTATTCGTTATAAGAAAAACACTAGTTCTTTAAAGGTTTTGAGTTCATACATCAGTAAAAAAAATGATTTGTAATGTCAGTAAATTTCATTTGTTCCCTAAGAATTAGAATTTTCTCCAGACGATGGTATAATTTCACCATTTATTTTATGAACTTTCTATACTTTTTTACTTGAAGATCTATTATAATAATAATAAAGCGAAAATATTGGTAACATGTATATTTTAGGCCTCTTGTGTTCAGACGAAAATCAATATATATTATCAATTATTTTGTGCAAATATGCAAACTGTATTTATTATTATTTGCTATGGTTGGTATGAAAGTTTGAGAGTTGTTCGGTGGTTTAATATTAATTATGAGAAAACTAAAAGTCAGTTGGTTAAAAAAATGCTTTATAGAAATATCTTGAAGATTTATCACACAATTTTAGAGTTCACTAAGTGCATTAACATGACATTGAAAATTGACCAAAAGGTGACGTTTTACAAACGATAAATTTTAACAGAGTAGACAGGTTTAAGATATAACATAGTAAGTCTGAACAGGTTGTTGTGTAAATTAATGCTATTTAGCTTCGTGGAACTAAAAAGTCCATGATTTTAATCTTTCGTAGGCAGCACAGAATGTTAATTGGAATGAGAGTTCCAAAGCCGAAGGGAATCAGGCTATGGACATGCTTAAGGTCAAAACAATGACTACGTCATTTGTTTCTGATAGGCTAGAGGGCACAATTAAAGCAGAAAAACAGTTATATAGTGGTCTAGAAATTCCAACTGATGACAATTCCGGTAGGTAGAAATATTTCCAAAGTTTTTCTTTTCAATAAAATGAAGTAATTTCAGTTTTCGCTATACTTTCTACAGATCTCAAATGTGTTTTCCATAAATCTGGTTATTCTGATTGAAAACGGTTACCGAAATACCAGTGTATTGCTGTTTTGGCTACATGACGCAATATTTCTTGTTAGTTTATCATTGATTATGTGTTTGTGTGAATGAAAGAAAAACTACCTATATGTTACTTTTGAAGGTGATTTAATAAAAATACCAAAGTAGTTTTAATTTCAACAGATATTTGATGATAATTTGAATATAATGTATTGTTTGAATTCCCGTATAAACTTGTATTTTCGTTAAACAATCAAATTATATAACCGAAAGCCATAAAAACATTTGATATACGAATTTTCTTGTTTAGCTGTTACTCGACAGTAAATTATCCGAAAGAAAAAACAAAAAAACATCACAAGACTCGTGTGTCGTAATTTCTAATTCATATAAAAAGAGTTGATATTTTAACCTTACAGAAACGAATATGACCAAAACGAAACCTGCTTTACCACCGAAACCGACGAAAGCTCCACCCCCATACAAAGCACCGCCGCGCCCTCCAGTGCCAACTTTTGCCTTTAGACCAGGTACGGTTCCAACAGACAAAGATACACACACATCAAGGGTGTCTGGCAGAGATGAAGAGCCCAAATATAACCAAAATCTAGTATGTGATTTTACTAACACTATCGATAAATAATAATTGGTAATCATTTACTTCGTGCTGCTATTTTATCAATAATAAAACGTCATGACTGAACAAGTTCCTGAAAATCCGTTGTTATTTATTCACAAAAATTGTGTTTCTTTTTGAAAAGGTTTTTGTGAGGTCCAAACTTTTGTCAGATAATAAAAAATGAGCCCACTGGAGTTCCTCAATGTTCTAATAGTCATTGATAGTGAAAAATCCTCTAACACTTTCTCTGGAAATGAATCCAAGTTCTAATAGACAGTAATGGTGTAAAATTGCTAACAAGATACTCGAAGTTTTTAAATAAATTTGGCAACACGACAGTGAATTTAAACTTTATTCATTAGAGAAGAGCGTATCGACCATCCACTGTGGTCATCATTAGGCTTAATATAAGATATTTAATTTCAATAAACTCACCACACGAGTCTTCTTTTGTGTTTACTTAATCAACAATGCTTAACAGTGTACATGTAGCTTCGCTTTTTACAATACAATGCCGCAATTCAAAATAATCTAACTTTAGAAAAGGTTAGATAATATAAATGGAACCGTACGGATTAAACGGATGAAAAACAAAATCAGAGCAAGAAACTATTTTTATGTCAAACAGATATTAATATCAAGAGTGGTCTAACACAAGTCCACTGTGGTGCGATGTTCTAGTATATAATAGAATAAGTAACACATTAAAGTAGTAATAAAAATTATCATCACATTAAAATAGTGGTAAAAATGATCATCATATTAACGTATTAGTAAAAATGATCACCACACAAAATTAGTAATAAAATGACCATCAAATTAAAATATTAGTAAAATGACCATCAAATTAAAACATTAGTAAAAATGATCATCACATAAAAGTAGTAGTAAAAATGATCACCAGATTAAAATAGTTGTAAAATAATCATCACATTAAAGTATTAGTAAAAATGATCATCACATAAAAGTATTAGTAAAAATGATCATCACATAAAAGCAGTAATAAAAATTATCATCAGATTAAAATAGTTGTAAAAATGATCATAACTTTAAAATAGTAGTAAAAATTATCATCACCTTAAAATAGTGATAGAAATTATCATCACATAAAAGTAGTAGTAAAAATTATCATAACTTTAAAGTAGTAGTAAAAATTATCATCACCTTAAAATAGTGATAGAAATGATCATCACATTAAAGTAGCAGTAAAAATGATCACCTTTTAAAAGTAAAAACAGTAAAAATTATCACCACTTTAAAGTAAAAACAGTAACAATGATCATCACATTAAAGTATTAGTAAAAATGATCATCACATTAAAGTATCAGTAAAAAGTATCATCATATTCAAGACCATTGCAACTAACCTCATAAAACCTGTTTATGTATTTGTTACTGATTTCGACATAGCTAATTAACGTTTCCAAAACATTTTAGTTTGTTGTTTTTCACCAACAATTACGTACAGTAAAAGAAAACAATTAGTTTTTTTTTAAATAAATATGGTACTTATTCAGTTAATCAACCGTGTTTTCATGCGTAACGTAGGTTATATCTCTCAATTTATTTATTTATAATAGCAGCCAGAAATAGGAAAAGTGAACTATTGACAGTAATACCTTTACTTGTTACGTATACTATATGTACTTCCGCAGGTCCTCGAAAGTGTTCTGTTTCAAGAGTAAATAAAACCAAAATTAAGAGTAAAATAATTATATTTCTTGCTATTAAAGTTCATATGACATGCTGTGTTGTAGCCTACAGAGTGCATAATTCTTCTCGTGATTCATGGCATGTGCTAGTTTTACTGACGTCACAACAGTTAGAGATTGCAACGTTAAGCGTCCCTTATGTGATGTCATTTTAGTGTCTATTGACTGAATTACAGACAACACACTACTATACAGTAGTGGGAGTGGTTAAAACAGGTGGCCTTTGGCCTCATTTTTTGGGAAATTATGAGTTAATGAAAGGCGGTAGCTTAGAACGTCAAACAATGAATTCATTCATTACTGGTAATATTACACATTACCTGCGTATGCTGTTTTTTGTTTGTTTGTTGTTATTTTATGAGTACTCTACTGGACTTAACTGCCATTGATGTGATTTTTTTTTTACTCAATCAAAAATGAGATGTTGAATTTAACATAGAGTCACTGCGGATAGAATTTGATAAGATATCAATGACCTGATTTGCAGAAACGGCGATTTAGCACTTAGTCACTTGTAGTCAAAACGTTTGTAGTTGAGAAACGTTACAGTTTGGCACTAATATGATTTGTGAAATAATATTTGAACTCAAAAGACCAATGATTAGTTTGTTTTTGAATTTCGCGCAAAGCTACACGAGGGCTATCTGCGCTAGCCGTCCTTAATTTAGCAGTGTAAGACTAGAGGGAAGGCAGCTAGTCATCACCACCCACCGCCAACTCTTGGGCGACTCTTTTACCAACGATTGACCGTCACATTATAACGCCCCCACGGCTGAAAGGGCGAGCATGTTCGGTGGGATGGGGATTCGAACCCGCGACCATCAGATTGCGAGTCGAGCGCCTTATCCACCTGGCCATGCCGGGCCCCAATGATTAGAATCATAGGAGTTATAATTTGACAGTAATCGAAACCAAGACGTTACAGTTTTATACTGTAATAATTGAAGTTGATAACTGTTATGAAATCTTACTTTTAACTTTAATGACTAGCAAAGAAAGGAAGTGAAAGATGATTCAAAATTCTTCGTTAAAACGACAAATATGTCTTTACATAGAGACTTTAGGTTCGTTTGTTAGTTTAGGAGCAAGGCCACTTTGGGCTTTCTGCTGTGTCCACCGCGAGGAATCGAACTCTGGATTCTAGCGTTGTAAGTCTGTAAACGTACCGCTGTTTTACCGGGGGGACAGATAGAGGGCTAGATAACTTTAATTTGTCCTTGTCCGCGCAATATTTGGGAAAAATGTTAACTTTATTAATTTTACAAATTATTGTTTTTAATAAAGGTGTGATGACATTATTCTGAACATTATATTGATAGTTACTCGTTGAGAACTAGTTATATAAGAATAAAAAATATTATTAGTTTTAATACTTGATTTCTATCATTTTTAAATATATAATAGTATTTTCGTTTCTTTTAAAGTTTTTTTTTCAATAGCTAATTGTTTCTTTTTGTAATATTCTGTACAGTCAGATACCTTACTTTCTGCCTCTGCTAATGGTCAACTAAAGGAGGTATCAATGATGTATTCTCGTCAGGCGTCAAGAGAGATTTCCTTTAATAAAGAGGACCCTAATCAACCAATTTCGGAAGACCATATTAGAAGTATACCTATTATAGTAAAATCAGAAAGGTGTGTATTGTTTTACATTTCAACACCACATTCTTTGGCAATATATTTTATAATGATGTTTGCGAAGTCTATGAATTGTGTTTTGCTTAATTAGTTGCCTGTCTCTCTTTCTCCATTATATCTTAAACATTAAGCCTAAATGTTCATTACATTTTGCAACTCTTTCAAGCTATTTAAATGAATCGAACACAAATGAACTTGACCGCTTTGAAAGTTACAATTCATTTTCTATTCTGGCTTTTGTTTTTACTATGATTACTTCGTGCGTTTTAATATCTCTAACAAAGTTTGAAAATCATAACTTAGCACATTATGTTACACCTTAACAGTACTTACTGTATCAGTAGTGACATCTAGATACATACATACATGTATGTGACAAATGTCAAGTCACATTAATACAAACTATTACATGTATCGCACGTTATAAAGCAGCGTTTTGTAACATTTGAATAAAAATATACGAATTAGTTCTAAAGCTAGAACTATTTCCAACAGAAAAGTTTGTACTTTACAACAAGTGTAAAGGTTTTAAACTATGCACTGCATGTCTAAAGAAAATAGCTGTAAAACGTATTGTTATAATTCTTTGTTGTAGACCGATTTGTTTTTATATAATCATTCATTTGTTTTGGATAATTAATTTTATCTTCTACAACAGCGTCGCAAACAACAAAAATGAAGGCGTTTCAGAACAGCAGAATACTGAAGATCTTCGAGATGCTTGTGGTAGATTATTTGGAAGAGAAAAGAGAGAATACTGGGGAAATTGTGTTATGACAAATGTAAGACAATTTACTCATATTTCTCTCTTGTCAAGATACTGTTATAACACACGTTTTCAAAATATCATGTTAACCTCGTTGCTTTGTAATTAATGTACGCGTATACAGTAAGGAAAGGCGGTTAACTTTGAGTTTTTATATCTGCACAGACTTTCAGAGACAAATTCTTAATAGAACTAGTTCCTTAAGGATTTTCAAAAATAAATAAATAATAGAAGAATACATAATAATAGTATTCCAACCACACTATATTCATCATATCTATTGCCAACAACGCGTTTCTCTCAATCCACAGAGCTCTTCAGGCCGCCTGGGATATAACAAACATAGCAGTGTCGGAACACTATTTATATAAGCCATTTGATACAACAACCATTTTTATGGTGTTTACGCCCTATATGAATAGTGTTCCGACCACTGCTGTATTTTTTGCGTCACAGCCGGCCTAAATAGCTCTGGGAAACCAGGATTCTACCATTTTTATATACATGTATAATCAGCACACTAGACAGTTGCTAAAAGTAAACCAGTTACACAGAAACACCTAGGACTAATCCTATGGATAGTGTGTAGCAGCCGAAAAACAATATTAATTTAGTTCAAGACTGGGCGTGTCCTACTCAACTGGAACTTGTAGCTAAGCATGAAATCCTGTATTAAGATGTTGAAAATTTATATAAATAAGGATATATTATTATCTTACAGAGAAATTTATTTTATGATATCCGCTTATCATAAGCTTACTTACCTCTGTCTATTATTAGGCTGTCCTCACCCATAAGTAACCATAAATATAACTTGAATCGAATATATACCGTGGCCCAACTAACCGCATTAGAATTGTAACCTTAAGTTTAGACCTAGACCCCAAGTCACTTGTACAAAACAACGTATAGGTAGAGCAATTCCTTAGTTTTACAACAAAGACATCGTTCTTGGTTTTATGTGTATTCATTTCCTGTACATTTTGAGCAATGTTGGTTTTATGTGCATTAACTTCCTGAACATTTTGGGCTACGTTGGTTTTATGCGTATTCACTTCTTGTACATTTTGAGCTATGTTGGTTTAATGTGTATTAACTTTCTGAACAGTTTGAGCTATGTTGGTTTTCTGTGTATTAACTTCCTGAACATTTTGAGCTGTTGGTTTAATGTGTATTAACTTCCTGTACATTTTGAGCTGTGTTGGTTTTATGTGTATTAACTTACTGAGCATTTTGAGCTATGTTGGTTTTATGTGTATTAACTTCCTAAACATTTTGAGCTATGTTGGTTTTATATGTATTAACTTCCTGAACACTTTGAGCTATGTTAGTTTTATGTGTATTAACTCCTGAACATTTTGAGCTGTTGGTTTAATGTGCATTAACTTCCTGAACATTTTGAGCTGTGTTGTTTGTATGTGTATTAACTTCCTGAACATTTTGAGCTTTGTTAGCTGGTATCTGCCCTAATTGTGATCCATTGCTTTCGGATAAGAGCTCAGACCTCCTCCATTCTTTGGCTGGCAGTGTGCTTCTAGCATAATGGTACTGTGATTTTATCAATGCAAGTAACTCCAGAAGTGTTATAGGAGTATTCTTGGAAAATGAAGTTGATAGTTGATGAGTTAGACAGAACAAATAAAGATGTTACAGCTGTACGTATGTCCGTCGTTATCAACGGACACGGATCATTAATTTTTGACTGAGTTATAGAGAAAAAAGAGTGTGAAAAATCGGTCACCATGTTTACAGAGAGGTTTTTTTTTTCGTGACCTTGTTGTGAACTTAACCTTTAAACTTATATTAAACTAATCACTTCTAAGTTGGGTCATAGTCCAAATGTATACGAACTTTCGTCCAAATCCATTTAGCCATTTTCAAGAAATCAAACACACACACACAGGGGTGAAAACATAACCTCTGTCACCTTCGGGTGACGGAGGTAATAATACATTTGTAATGCCATGTTTAGTTTACTTCATCAAGCTACACAGATGCAGCCCACACAAGAGGTGTGTTTTTAGATCCATCATTCTTTCAGTGGTCTAAAATCAACCGGTATATACAGTTACACTGTATTCATATTTGAGTCACGAGTCATCAAAAATTTCAATTTCACACACCCTTCACTAGAATCAACAACAATGGTTATGCTATATTTTCTCCTTTATATGATGTAAGCCAACAACAAAGTATAAGCTATCTTTTCTCCTTTATATTAAGTAAGCCAAACAACAACAATGGTTATTTTTATTTTCTCCTTTATATGATGTAAGCCAACAACAATAGTTATGCTATATTTCCTCCTTTATATGATGTAAGCCAACAACGATGGTTGTGCTATCTTTTCTCCTTCATATGACGTAAGCCAATAACAATGGTAATGCTATCTTTTCTCCTTTATATGACGTAAGCCAACAACAATGGTTATGCTATATTTCTCCTTTATATGATGTAAGCCAACAACAATGGTTATGCTACCTTTTCTCCTTTATATGACGTAAACCAACAACAATGGTTATGCTATATTTTCTCCTTTATATGATGTAAGCCAACAACGATTGTTATGCTATACTTTCTCCTTCATATGACGTAAGCCAAAAACGATGGTTATGCTACCTTTTCTCCTTTATATGACGTAAGCCAACAACGATTGTTATGCTATACTTTCTCCTTCATATGACGTAAGCCAAAAACGATGGTTAGGCTACCTTTTCTCCTTTATATGACGTAAACCAACAACGATGGTTATGCTATATTTTCTCCTTCAATGACATAAGATAACAACGATGGTTATGCTATATTTTCTCCTTTATATGACGTAAACCAACAACGATGGTTATGTATTTTCTCCTTTATATGATGTAAGCCAACAATGACTATTTTATGCAGAGAAGAGCCACACACCTTCAAATATTTCAGTTGTAAAAAACAACTGAACACATTACATATTACTATCAATGAAACCATTTTATCCTTTCACGAGGTCTAAAAAAACAACTGAACACATTACTTTTTACTATCAATGAAACCATTTTACCCTTTCACGAGATCTAAAAAAACAACTGAACACATTACTTATTGCTATCAATGAAACCATTTTACCCTTTCATGGGATTTAAGCTAAATCATATTATTTTGACCTAATACATACATCTCAATATTCTTACCAAAGCTTATTATTCCTTGAAATTGTGCTCTGTGTTTATTCATGCATACATAAACTAACAAATTCATACATACCACAAAATGCAGTTATTGCTACATATGTAACAAAACATCATGTACTAAATTTTCTCATTGTTTTCTACATCATCAATCTCTCCAAACTCTACTTTCTGGGGCAACCAGTGCATGAGAAGTCCATTGCCTTTCACTCTTTCACATGCTCCATGTACTTGCCTCCAGTGACTGATGCAGCTGTTCATTTGATAGAAGGAGCTGCTTGAACCTAATATGGCTATACACAGTCATCCAGCTCAAATATTTGTTCTTTTTTTGGTATTCCAAGATACTGCTGGTTAGTAGGTAACGTAATTATCAGAATAACTGGAAGTCCTTATGAAATCCATGCAGAACATGAAAAAGTCAAACTCAACCAACATAAATAGACTAGACACAGATCTTTGAAAAAATATCTTATTAATAAATAAAATGAGTATATGGCTAACTAATTCTCCTCAACAGATGGTCAGTTTCTTCCTGTTTGTAAAATTTGTACAACAGCTACTTGAGACTCAACTGTGTGAGATGACTGCACACAATGATCACCTTGGCAAATCTGTATTAATTTTTTTTTAAACTGTATCCAAGTTCATGCTATGCCAGTACTCTACAGAATGGCGTGTTATCCACATCAGAGGGTTTCTCATTACCCAAGAAATAGAAACCATATTTGTTATTTGTCTTACTCTACATATGTCCCACATGCCAGATATTGTGAAAAAATGCTTAATGACTTATCTAGTGTACTTGCTCCTTAGAGAAGCAGACACATATGCATTTATTACTGACAAGAGGAAAGAATTAGATTCATAGGCAGCTGGTGTTGACATGGTAACAGATCCTGGGTGCATCTAACTACCTATGGGTAAATAATGGGACTGCAGTAATGAAGTGGAGTAATGACTCAAGTGTTTTGAACTTCAGGAGATGTTGCCATGTTTGAAGTATGTTCATAAGGAGGCTGAACTACTGCAGAAACAGCTGTGGCTTTATTTTTGGCAACATTTTCTTTGTGACTGCCTCAAATAATTCTACACTGAAACAACTTCTTGCAAAGTAAAAACTATGCTTGTGGTACTCCATGGGCTTACTTGGAAGTCCCTTAACAGACTTGTCTATATGGATCTTCTAACAATCTGCCAATGCCATACTAGGATCAGCATTTTCATTTAGGTGTCTCAGGTAATATACGAAACAAAGTTCTAGTGGTCTCCTTGATTTCAGCCCTGTGAGTAGCCCAGTTCCCCATATGGTTCAACTATTGACACAACTCAGCTAGGCTGTATCAAATTCACCAAGTTCATCTACCCTACATAATCAAGTGCTGTACCATCCAGACTCAGTACATGGTATTTCACTCCTTGGTTTTGACTTTACACACTTAAATGCCGTAAATGTTTTGAAAATGCCGTGTCTCCCAAGTTTAGAAAACTTATCTGCTTTATATTGTCACCATTGAATGGTGGTAGTGAATGCAAAGGCCAGTATAAGACTTCTTTGCTGACTAGCAGCTAACGTACCATTTTTCACAAAAGAAGTATCTCGTGTTGTTGTATTAAGGCCTCGGCATGCATAAAATCGACAGCATGACACTTTATCTGGATGGTCTACTTGACGACAAACATCCAGACGACCTCTGGAAGGTGTGGAAAATACTTCTCCATAGTTCCTCGATCTTCTGGTGAGATTCTTGTCATTCTATCTGATTGTAGAGCAAAAAGCTTTTTCTATTGCATCTTATCTTCCAATGAAATTTTAAGCTGTCATCTGATTACTAATGACTCCAACAGTGATAGTATTTGTCCAGGCTTTGATCATCATCATGGCAACACAGTTAACCCAAACGACAGCTACTCAGGTTCTGGGTTGTGGCCCAACTTCTTAGTCTCAAGGCCAGAATGGAAGTATGAGCAGATAAAAGACCAACATTCAGATTGTGCCATGTTCTCACTTATCTCCACTATAAGTCGTTCTTCTCAGTGAATAAGGCCTTCCCACTTCAAAATAAATTACAAATTTATAAGATCGTGAAAGTACGAACAGCAAAGCATGTCCAGCTTAAGCTCTGTAAATTCCTACATTACGATAGTGAATTAACAACATAGATTGCTATTCTTGTATGTATTTAAAACCCACAGTGATGGCAACAACGAAAGGAGGTTTGGGGAATTTTAATGCAAAGTATGTAATAAATTATGCTCGATTAAAAATAAAAATACACAAAGAAGGTTTCACTTACAACGAAAACACTTATTCTTAACGCAGATACGATAGCATACAAGCAGTTTACTGGACAGACCATTCATTATATTTATCAATTGGCTCTCTGAATCTTCAACAATAAAACGACACAATATAATGAAGAAATCCTGACAAATTCTAGAATCAACCTTACTCGATTAAAATTATCAAAATCTGGGCATAAAATTAACTTTGCTTGGAAGTTTATTAAGCACTTTCCATAATTCCACATTACCCACACTGCCCAACTCGTCCCAGTAGTTTAATAGAAAATCAATGTCAAGCGTAATAGGTTGCCAGAAAAAAGAAAATGTATTCAGACATTTGGTTTCTTAAGTAATTCCTTATATACCTGGCTTATCAAATATGATAAAAAGACTGTGTAAAGGAATAGAAAGGATTTATAAATTTATAATAGTAGGCATTGTTTTACCAGGAAAAACAAGTTGTATACAATCTTGAAAATAGAATTAAACCAACTACGGCTGAGATAGAAGTAGTTTACATTGTAGAATGTACGGACCGTAACAATATCATTATAGGGGAGACTGGTAGAAATTTAAGTACTAAAACAGCAGAACATGGACATGTCTACTAACATTTTAAAGATACAGAACTTATTAGTAAAAATAAAACTATGAAAATTATTTGTCGAAAACCTAGTTTTAATAAAAGTAAAATAAAAGAAGCTATTTTGATAAAGGAATACAAACATATAATAAATAAAACACAAGGAATAGGTTTATACTAAGAGTAAAGTCGAGGTTCTGTTCGTGACGTGTACTTAACTGTCGTGTTTGGTTGTGCAACGTTCGTGATGGTGCCACGTTAACAGTGGCGAAACGATGTTTGATTTTATATTTTGTCTATCCCACTTTTAGTTGTTTCCTGAATTTTTAAAAGTTCGTAATGTATGGGATACCTCGGGCATCGATATTTAGAGTGTCAAGCACTCCTGACTTCAGATAAGACTTACACAACGACTTATCGTGCAAGCTTGCTGCATATAGAAATAGACACACCTTTTGGTCATAAGTGAAACATAAAGACAAGAATGACGTAGTTCAAGGCTGAGAACATTCCGTTCGTCTAGACCTTGTAACAAAGTAAACATTTTAGAACAGGTCTTTGTAAAGTATGCATGAATAAAGATGTGTTTGTGTACTAAGTTATTTAAAGAGGTTTAGCTCATGATTGCATGGCACACGAGAATCCTTTGTTTATTTCATTGGGCGTCGTCAACACTTCTAAAAGATGCTCCTTTCAGAGTTTTTGCTCAAAGCTCCATAAAGGGCTATCTTTGCATCACCTTCTACAACTTTAAAAATTAAAGACTCGACAGAGGTTTACTCTTGAGCTACTCTTGTCTGAGTGAATCATGGGGTTTGACCGTCACTCTCATAGTGTACCCACAGCCCCAAAGTGCAGAGCGCGTTTTTGCGACAACGGACCGCGAAGAACGAATTTTTGAATTCACAGTCTAACCACGCTGACGACTAGACCACGTCAAGCTCCAGAAGGACAAACTGATCAAAATGTAGAATCTATTGTTACTGATAATTAACGGTTTTGATTAATAGGAGTCTCACGATAGACAAACAACTCTGCAAAATTTTAAGCATACCCTACAGATACTGAATCATGATTTTAAAGGTTCGAAACTTATCAGGCTATCTACTACACATGGTGACCATGTAGATGCTAGTTCGTTGTCATTCGAAATTTAACAGGTTGTCCACTACACATGGTGACCATGTAGATGCTAGTTCGTTGTCATTCGAAACTTAACAGGCTTTCCACTACACATGGTGACCATGTAGATGCTAGTTCGTTGTCATTCGAAATTTAACAGGTTGTCCACTACATATGGTGACCATGTAGATGCTAGTTCGTTGTCATTCGAAACTTAACAGGTTTTCCACTACACATGGTGACCATGTAGATGCTAGTTTGTTGTCATTTTCCATGTGTACTGCTCGTTTTCACTTCTTTTTCAAGAATATCTCTACAAGTTTTTCTTATCTGTTTAACGTTGTGGTATTACATGAAATACTGAATGGAAGGTTATATACACCATCTCAGTCACAATACGTTCCTCACATTTTACAGAATGAAAATCATAATCTATTTGATATTGAATGGAAGGTTATATACACCACCTCAGTCACAATACGTTCCTCACATTTTACAGAATGAAAATCATAATCTATTTGATATTGAATGGAAGGTTATATACACCACCTCAGTCACAATACGTTCCTCACATTTTACAGAATGAAAATCATAATCTATTTGATATTGAATGGAAGATTATATACACCATCTCAGTCACAATACGTTCCTCACACTTTACAGAATGAAAATCATAATCTATTTGATATTGAATGGAAGGTTATATACACCACCTCAGTCACAATACGTTCCTCACATTTTACAGAATGAAAATCATAATCTATTTGAATGTCTCTCCTTCCTGTGTGTATGAAATATGGTAGTAAAATATTTTGTTTACGTTTCATTTGTTTCAATAAATACGTTGTTAAATAATAACGTATTCTAAGTTTTTGAAATATTCTTTTATGGGTCATTTAAAAAATACAATCCAACTTTTTGTATGAAGTCAAGTTTCTGAGGAAAAAATATTTTCCTTAGGCTTATTCTTGATTTTATTTGCTGTGTTTTAGCATACTTACATCAATATGGGCCACAATTTAAAGTCTTCATTCGAGTATGAAAAGGTCACCACGAAGGAGACTATAGGTAAACCTAGTCAAGAAAAAAACTGTGTTTCTTTGAGTATAGACAACATTACAGCAACACGTGAACCGTCAACTAAAGGTGTTTTCGAACACCTTCCTTGTAATTCTAGAATTGTGAAACAATATGCTATTTCTAATAATGAACTTCCAAGAAGAGAGTGGTTAGAATTACGAACGAAGTCGTCCTCACCTGCTGATACACCGTATCACTATTTAAACTTAAAGGACTTGCAAGACAACAACAAGCATGCTAAAAGTGGTTCTTTAACTATATTTAACACTGAGCCCAGAGCAACAAGTTGCACAAGTCATGTGACAGAGAACGATTCCTGCACGAAGTACGTGAAAGCACCAGGACGTAAAAATCTGAGGCCAACGGATAGACATATTGTACGAGACGACGCACAAACACCAAGTGACCAGTACAAGTCATCTTCTGAATCTGGATTAGGCACCCTTGGTAGTGGTGCTCAAAGCCTTAAAAGTCCAGCTTCGGGGAAGAGTAGAACAACTAGTGCAGGAAGTAATCTCGATACCAGTATTGACTCTGATAATAGCATAGGTGGTGTTATATGGCCAGACGGATCCACAGCAGCGCAAAAGTACGATACCGGTCGTGGAATGTCAAAAATAACAGCAGATATGGAAACCTTCGAGTGGAGTGACGTTGGAGAAGCGAGAAAGGAACACGAGTGTCGCAATTTTATACCTATACATCTTCGGAGGACAAAAGAAATAACACAAACTCTTGACTTTGATACTAGCGGCACTGGTTCCGAGACCATTCTTGTGAATCCACCCCTTCCTTCCAAATCTCCACCCAGCTTTCAAATCGTAAACCCAGAAAGTTCGCCAAAAGTATCATTACCAACCAAATATACACTGTCATCCAGGTAAGTTTATTTTGAAAGCTATATCTCTTAATTAATTTTTTATACAACTGGTTTATTTCTTCCTACTTTGAAAGTTAAATTACGCGTTTACAGATGATTTAAACAATAAATGTCACCGTATTACGATCTCACAACTTAATTTCATAGACTTATAAAACAAGAAATAGTTTAGTTGTTTGAGGTTGTCTCTGACAGAAACACTATTATAATCCACTTCGGCCTTCTATTGTATATCACTATACTTCTTGTTATAATTCATTTTTAGATGAATGTTTAATAAATCAGTTTTGAGGGAAAAAAAGAGATGTAATATATTGTTTACGATTAGATCTTGCAGTAGATGAGACAAGGTTCTAAGAAGTCGTTTCATATTGTATCCTTACACCGATTGAAAATTCAGTTAAATAGTTCACTGTAATAATGTTACATCGCTTTTGTGCTACACACGAAATAGTTAAAATTCGAAACAACTTATTAAACTTTTTTGTTTTTTATACGTATTTTATGAACTAACCTTAGTGACATCTATGCTAGAAGCTTTTTTTTTCTCATTCTTTTAGCGGTTCAGCCCTAAACGTCATGCATTCGACAAGTGATGAAACAAAAAAGGATCAATCAGAAAATAATCACTGCCATAATTTAACAACAACAAAGATCGTGGGTAAAGGTGTTCCTGCCAAAAAGAGTGGTATACGGAAGACAACAGGTGTTACTCAAGGAGCTTTTAAACACTGTGGTATACGCACGAAACAGACAGGGGTGTTTAAACCAATAGAAGAAATGACAAACAACCATCAGAGAATCGAACAGTATCAGTCACCTGAAAATAGCCGCCTAGTAGCAACGTATAAAACTAGACAAGCTGCAGCACAAAATACGAACAGAATTCATTTAAGTAAGTGTAACATTAGCAACATAGCTTATATATATAAACACACGTGAATGAATTATCAGTTTCTTATTCTTAAATACGTTTTTTGTTTAAGCGCAAAACTACATAATGAACTATCGCTGCTTTTCTCACTACAGGGTTCGAACCCTGAATTTTAGCATCATAAGCCCTGAATCTTAACGTTGGGCCACGGGAGAGCATGTATCTTAACGTAGCTTAATTTATTTATGAGAGATTATTTCATTTCAGGCTAGATAATCATACATACATAATACTGCTACGTATCTGCTTGTTTGTTAACTTCTTAAGTTAAGTCCTTTCTTAATTAAAACTAATTTATTATTTCTCGATACAACTTTGTAATACACAGAATTTCAGCAGTTACTTTAAACTTAACAACCTCTATAACACACGCTATAAATCACAGTGATTTACACACTTTACTTACGGTGCCTACTATTCCTTTGACTCAATTATCTATCTCTTCACTCTATCTATCTTTGCAATTGCGCTGGTTTTTCTCACCAGGCTTATATACTAAAACGAGGGCGTCTAGTAAACACTCGGACATTCGCGAGGTTCCCCGATAATTCTAGAAACCCCAGCGCGCATGCTCCCAGCGTCACACGACTTCCGCTGTCGTAACAATACAATTTATACGCATCATAGGTGACACATTCACTGCTACGCATAATTCATAGATTAAATCATATCTTGGAGTTCAATTGATCTGCCCGTGGTAACATGTCTCGTGTTAAGGTTTCTTAGACCTCTTACATAGGAATGGGCATTAACTAGAAAATTTGAGGCTGGTATAGATTGATGGTTAGGGCGCTCGACTCGCAATATGCGGGTTGCGAGTTCGGATCCCTGTCACACCGAATATGTTCGTCCTTTCATTCGTAGGGGCGTTATAAAGTTAAGATCAATCCCACTATTCGTTGGTAAAAGAATAACCCAAGAGTTGATGGTGTTTACTAGCTGCTTTCCCTCTAGTCTATCACTGCTAGATTAAATAGCCCTCGTGTAGAATTGCGTAAAATAAAAAAAACAAGGATATTTCACAAACGCAAGAGTCTGATCATAACTACAAGGTTTCACACATCACACTTTTTTGAGAACAGTTAACTGCAAACAGAAAGTATTTTTTGTAATACTGCGTTAAATAATTGCTGTTTATGTTTAAAGATAATAGAACTATTATATTAGCAACTCAACTCAAATTATTTTTAATTCATTTGGAAGTTGGAAAATATTTAATAACTAATTCTGTTATATCACCTTTCTGATCATAAGAACTTTAATTATTGAGTCCATAAGACAGGCTTATGATAAGCTCTCTTTATTATGGTTTCAAGAGTATCAGCCCCCAGTGGTACAGCGGTATGTCTGCGGACTTACAACGCTAGAAACCGGGTTTCGATATTTCTGGTGGGCAGAGCACAGATAGCTTTCTGCTTAACTTCACACAACCAACCAAGAGTACCTTGTATTTAGTTTGACCGAATAAGTTCAGATCTTTGCTGACGTGTAAGTTTTCTGAAGAACAGAAAAGTTTGCTGAAATAATTTCCAGTTCAATGCACGAAGACGTTTGTTTGTTTTGTTGTTAAGCACAAAGCTACATAATAGGCTATTTGTGGTCTGCCTACTGCGTGTATCGAGACATGAATTTTAGAGTAAAAAGTCCTTAGATTTACGGCTGAGCCACTGCTGGTGAGGGGGTGCACCAAGAAGATAACAAAAAGTTGGCTTATTTAACGTTTGATTTTATTTGCTCTCTGTAGGTTTTTCAGTGGTGTTTCCTTTGTTACGTATTAAAATTTCGAATGGTCTGCAATTGAGTTAAATGATACTTCAGATTTAGTAGTTAAATTGTATTTTGGATTTAGCAGTTAAGTAAAAACTGATTATACACAATGATTTATGTACAAAAGTTTTACAAACTTACAAGCAATATAAAGTCTTCTTTCTAGTCTGGAACTTCCTTGATATCTTATCGAGTGTTCACGATAAGCGAGTTAATTACGAGTTGATGTAGGTACGATTTGCTTAACGGAGAGCTAGCTAGCTTTGTCCTTCGTTATTCACCAGCCACACTCGCCGATTTTCCACGATGAAGTTATATAATGTTTTCGTAAAAATACTAATGGCCGATGAGAATCCACTGAAGTTAAATGATTTGTAATGTTCGAACTTTGTAAATGCTCCAGGTCAAATATCTGAAGTTTTCCGATTGATGAGCGTTAATCACAGTTATAGCTTCCGAAGTTTATAGCGCATTGACTATAGCAAACTAATAATAGATATTACTTTTTTGGCGCGTCTCGTTGGTTATATTTATAAGCGTATGGAGGCTTTCTCGAAATTTCAGTATTACCTAACAATACTGACGCTAACACATGCATTTACGAACACACACACATATTGTTGATTATTACTCTCGAGAATCTTCTACAACTTTTGAGAATAGGTGGGAGTTTCGCAATACATATTTAACAGTATAAGCTATGTGTGTTTCTAAATATAAATTTAATCTAAACAAACGTTGATATTAAAATAAATATATAATAATAAATTCGTCACACCTTCTTCAATGATGTTTTTCAGAAAGAATTAGATACACTGAATGCCGCTTATTGTGATTACGGATAATGTTATCATTAGTATAATATTATCAGAATTACTAAATCCTGACCAAACGTATAAAAATACACAGGAAAAACATCGTTTATTGTAATCAGCGCTTCGTTTTTTGTTATCACATTTAATCAGCATAACCATCTCAAGAGCAAGCGACTTGAGGAAGTTTCACCATAAAATAGGGCGTAGCTAAGTTGTCACTCAGATCCCCTACGCTTTTGCGTTTCCTTTCTATAATTACAGTACAGTTGTTTTCGTTCCTTCGCGAAAGACGGTGCACCCACAAACTTCAAATTTTGTTAACCCTCTTTAATAATGGAAGAAAGGCATAAGAAACGTAAAGATCTAACCCTTAAAGAAAAAGTTACCATTTTAGAACGCTATGATAAGTTACCAAAAATGGGGCAACGTAATGCAGCAGTGCAATTAATAAGTTCCCATCCTCTTTTGTGAAAAATTTAAAAAAATCGAGCCGACATTGAGACGGGAGCAAAACAGAATGAAAACCTAAACTGTAAGAGAAAGCACAGTGGAAAAGATGACCAGGTCAAATCATCATTAAAACTTTGGTTTACTAATGTTCATGAACAAGATGCTCGTGTAAACGGATTAATGATTCGACAGAAAGCGGCGTACAGCACAGATCAGGCGAGTTTCACAGAATATGAAAGTTTTATTAATGAATTGTTCCAAAAAAAAATAGCAGACATCTTAGGACATTTCGGGATAAAAGTTGATAACAAACTTTATTTGGTCAATTTGGGCCATAAAATGGAAAAGAACAAGGACCCAAATGCCTTCCTTGCTACTAATTACACCTATTTATATTCCAGCTTTACCTTTTTTTGCGTAGACAGACTTCATTAGTAGCAATATTAAGATAAACTAGAAATGTAAGACGAGTGCTATATACAGCGAGATTCCACAGTTGTGATATTAGAATATCAATCATCTTGTACGTAGGAGAATGAAGGAAACTAGTACCATTTAACAACACACACACACATATAATAAATGACTTTTACTAAATAATGTATAACATTATGTTTACTACAACGCTGTATATATTTACTTCGATTGTAAATATGTTGTACATAGTTAAACATGTAATTGGACATTGTCAGGATATCTAATCGAAATGTGAATTACATGAGCGGTAGTGTTAAGAGTGATGGATCACGGCTCATTTCTGCGTTTGACATTTGTAGCGAAGGTTTCTACACCCCCGTTTTATACTAGCATCTAATCATTTCCATATGTGGATCGAGAGATGTCAGTATTTAAACACATTTCCCATCAGTATACTTCCATTCCATGTGTTCAGGAGCTGGCAAAGCAGGTTTTGAAATGTGTGCCCTGTCTCCAAACCATAGAGGTAGTATTTCAAAACATCCATAACTACTGACTAACCACTGGCTCCATTATCAGTTATTACCTATATAATATTACATTAAATGCATACAGTGTAAATGGGCCTGTAACGTTCCCATGTGAGTCGTATTAAAATCGTAAATATTCCATATATTGATTTGTGTAGTCTAACTAACAAGCTGTGATTTCTAGAGTAGTGTTCGTCAGATACGTAAACACTGTCACAGTTACATTGATTCAGCTCAATCTGAAAATAAACGGACACACTTACCTTATTTGTAAATACTACTCCAGCCGTTTTTTATATATACCGTATATAGAACCGAATGATTAGTGTTACAGATTACTTAAGTAATCCAGACTAGCAGTATCATTAATGTAAAGGTTGTGCTATTCTATATATATATTAAATGATAATTTAAGCAGTATCATTAGTGTAAAGGTTTTGCTATTCTATATATATATTAAATGATAATTTAAGCAGTATCATTAGTGTAAAGGTTTTGCTATTCTATATATATATTAAATGATAATTTAAGCAGTATCATTAGTGTAAAGGTTTTGCTATTCTATATATATACTATTTAACTAGTGATAATTTAAGCAGTATCATTAGTAGTTAAACGGTTTTGACTTATTACTATTATAGT